GTGTGTGTGTGTGTGTGTGTGTGCGTGTGTGTGTGTGTGTTTGTGTGTGTGAATGTGGGTGTTTCTAAATTGGATCTATATGGAGAAAATTAGCATATCCCTCCGTCGATGACATGTATGAATAGAGGAACCATACCCGGCCTGCGTAACCGAATTGCCCAGTTGGAAAAGAGAAAGTACTTCAAATCCGCTCTTCCTCCTGGACAAGTTCGATGTGCTCTTCATCCATCTGATGCTCTTCGTCGTCCTTATTCTCTTCCTGCTCTTCCTCCTAATGCCCTTCCTCATTCTCTTCGCACTATTCCTCCTCACACTCTTTGTCACGCTTCTTCCTCATCACGGTCGTAAGATCAATGTGTTATGTACCCAATTGAACTTCAATCCACAACGAATTCACTTGTTCCCATACACGCATGCAATTGCAGAGTAGACTAGAAGGAGGTAAATCCACACAAAAGCAGAGACAAGATATGCACCACGGAAGCTCAAAATACACAGAATTGAAAAACGAATTTCAATTCTGCAATCCCTCATCCTCCTCCAATCAATCCAGAGTACATGTTCGAAGAATCACAACCGCGTTTACAACAACCCCGAACAACCGAAAACAATTGTTCAACGAAGTATGCAGGAGTCTTCTTCTTCTTCCTCACCACCTCATACCCCTCGCTATGGCTGCCGTAGCAGCAGTAACCCCACAGCTGTTACAATGTGCCAACCTGAACCAGCAACCCTATTGATAACAGGTCATGGGTTGAGTTGAGTCTGGGTACACCGGGTCATGGATGTACTTCTAATACATACCATGCTGGGGTGGGGTGAAATGTCCCTTAAGGGGCTTCACTNCTTCACTTTCATCCCAGCTCACTTTTCCGATTGGTTAAGTGTTCCGCCTCTTTGGCGGAAGGTCTTAGGTTCGATTTCTATTGGGTTCATCTTGGGATTCTTGTGTATTTGCAAGAGCTGCCCAGTAAACCCTAGGCAGAGAGGGAGAAGAGGACAGCAAACGAGGGGTTGTGGCAAACTGTTTCGTCAGAGTTTCACCGACTCATCAGGAGGCTGAACCCTCAACAGTTTGCAGAATCCCCTAACTGATTATATATATATATATATCATCTATATATATATCGTCACAAATATATATCATCTATATATATCATCTATATATATATCGTCATATGTATATAGATATTGCGGGGTGCCACGACCCCCGACCGGTAGGTGCCGAACAGCCGATCGGTCGACGGGTCGACCGCCGACCAGTCAAGGGCCGCCGACCATCGAGGGGTGCACAATGACTCCATAGGTAAAATTCACAACACTGTCACTACAAAGTGTGCGACCAAGAGAAACACTGAAAATCTGATTTCTACCCGAAAGAGCAAACCTTAGGACCATGTAGGAGAATTTGAGGTAAGATTTCACAAGTGGTTAACGACCTCCTGAAATTTCAGAATGAAAGATCCTGAAGTCTGTTAGGAGAGGTCTGAAATCGCTGGACTGATTTGAAGCTACTTCATGCCATTTCAGGAGTTAGGAGAGGTCAGATTTTATGTTTTTTTTCTTTATTTTTTTTAACTGTTTTTGTTTTGATTCAACGTTGTTGTGGGCCACTTCAAGTCATTTCAGGAGTTTCAGGTGAGGAGGCCTGAAACCTCTGAAAAAACTTGAAGTGGTTGAAGCTTCTGAAAGTGGTTTCAGGTCCCCCTCATCCAAATGGATGGATTGATGCATCTCAAACCGCTTTCAGATTTTCAGCAACTTCATATTATTTCAGAAGTTCAGATTGGGAGACCTGAAACCTCTTACATGATCTGAAGTGGCTGAAGAGAATGAGTAGGACGAAGAGCATGAGGAAGCGGAAGAGCACATTGAGAGAGAGAGAGAGAGAGAGACAGAGAGAGAGAGAGAGAGAGAGAGAGAGAGAGAGAGAGAGAGAGAGAGAGAGAGAGAGAGAGAGAGGCGGAAGAAAATGGAGGAGATTGGGGGAGGGAGGAAGCCAGGCGGTGGTTGGAGGAGATTGGGGGAGGGAGGAAGCAACTTGAGTAGGACGAAGAGCATGAGAGAGAGAGAGAGAATGTGAGGAAGAAAATGGAGGAGATTGGGGGAGGGAGGAAGCCAAGTCGTGGTTGCGTGAAAAAAGGAAGGGAGGCGAGGTGGTTGGGCGGAGGGAAGTCGAGAGGAGGATAGAAGGAGGCCGTGAGGAAGAGGAAAGGTGGCACAGAGTTGAGTGGAGGGAGGGCAACCTTTGCCCTCCCTCCTCCTCCCTCTTCCTCCCTCCTGCCACCCTCCTTCCTTCATCAGACAGGCCTCCCTTCTTTCATAACCTCGAACCTTAGAAGAGCATTTGTTTTTTTTTTCCGTTCACCTGTGCATGTAAATGCTGCATTTCTTTTCAAAAACTCAATATGGGTCCACGCACGCAGTCACATTTCACCAAACACTCTTTCTACTCCACATCCTCCTCATGGTTCTACCTTCCCCTTCACGCTCCTCCACACCTTCTTTGTCCGGCCCCTACACCACCCAAGGTACATCTCTCACTCCTGAAATTCTTCCTCCTCACCATTCTCCTCTCACGAGCGCAAAGGGAGGGAAGAGGTGAGGGGAGAGAGAGAGAGAGTGTGTGTGAGAGAGAGAGTGTGTGAGAGAGAGAGCGAGAGAGAGAGCGAGAGAGAGAGAGAAGGCGGGGAGGAAGAGAATGAGTAGGACGAAGAGCATGAGGAGACGAAAGAGCACATTGAGAGAGAGAGAAGGCAAGGACTAAGAAAATGGAGGAGATTGGGGGAGGGAGGAAGCCAGGCGGTGGTTGCGCAAAGAAAGGAAGGGAGGCGAGGTGGTCGGGCGGAGGGAAGTCGAGAGGCGGTCGGGAGGAGGCCGCGAGGAAGGGGAAAGGCGGCACAGAGTTGAGCGGAGGGAGGGCAAAGGGAGGAGGAGGGGGGGCAGAGGTTGGGTGGAGTGCAAAGGGAGGGAAGAGGTGAGGCGAAGGGGCGGAGAGAGAGAGAGAGAGAGAGAGAGAGAGAGAGAGAGAGAGAGAGAGAGAGAGAGAGAGAGAGAGAGAGAGAGAGAGACTCCCTTCCTTTCTTCTCCCAACCACCGCCTGGCTTCCTCCCTCCCTCGATCTCCTCCATTCTCTTCCTCCACGCCTTCTCTCTCTCTCTCTGTCCGCCTAGCTTCCTCCCTCCCTCGATCTCCTCAATTCTCTTCCTCCACGCCTTCTCTTTCTCTCTCTCTCTCTCTCTCTCTCTCTCTCTCTCTCTCTCTCTCTCTCTCTCTCTCTCACTGCACTATTCCGCTTCCTCATGCTCTCTGTCTTACTCTCTCTCTCTCTCTCTCTCTCTCTCTCTCTCTCTCTCTCTCTCTCTGTGTGTGTTACATGCCCAGTTGGGCGATGTACGTAATAACCAAGG